AACAAATGCGCTCTCTATTACAAAAATTAAAATGTCCATCTTTATCACATTTTAGATGGTATAAGGATGTATTCATAGCTAGAGTAATGAATCTTACTGATGCCAGTTCTAGCTACTGGAAAGAAAAATTTTTAGAAGGACTGCCTGCTACCTTCGCTACAAAAGTTAAAGAAAAATTAAGAACTGCTAATGGTCAGTTAACTTTCGAATACTATACATACGGACGTATCATTAGCGAATGTATCAACGTTGGTATTACACTTTGCAATGATATCAGAATGCAACAACAACTTAAACGCGAGCGAATATCCGATCGCAAACAATTAGGAGCCTTTTGTGAACAATTCGCATGTCCAGGCCCATTAACAAAAAGAGAACGGAATTTAGCAAAACAAAAATCAAATAAAAGAGAAAAGCTAAAAGCTCAGCCCAAGAAGTTTCATAAAAAATCATTTAGACCTAAAGAAAGACAGTCTGAATCCAAACCTATCAGAAAAGCTATTAAATGCTTTAAATGTGGAAAAATAGGACATTATTCTAATAAATGTCCTATGAAAACAAAAATAAGTCAATTAAACTTAGATAACGATACAAAAGAATTATTAATGAAAATTCTTTTAAATTCAGACGAATCTGAGTCTGATAATTCTAGTAACTCTGAACATGAAATTGAAGAATCAGAATCTGATTCCTCTTCATGTTGTAATAATTGTTCTAGTAACGATTACTACAAAGCTATTGTAGAAAAATCAGGATTATTTGTTCTTACGAATGAACAAAAAGATCAACTTATAGAAATGCTAGCAAACATTCAAGATCATAAAACCAAAGAACAAATTATTAAATTACTCGGAACTTCTGAAGATCCGCTTCTATCACAAACACAGAAATTTCCTAATTATTCTATGAAAGAAGTACTTGATCGTTTTAAATTAAAAGAACAGGAGCTAAATCCCTCTCCAACTACATTATCTGATTTAAAATTAGAACTTAAAAATTTGAAACGAGAAGTTCAAATTCTTAAATCCGAACAAGATAAACTATCTGTTCGACTAACAAATCTTGAATTAGAACAAATGCTAGATCAACCCGATCCAGAAGACCTTACTCAAAATTATGAAAATAATACTCTTATAAATTCCTTACAAAAAGCAATTATCCATAAATGGTTTATTTCTATCACTTTGGTTATTAATCAAACTCTTGTACTTAAAAATTTAACAGCTTTAGTTGACAGTGGAGCTGATATGAATTGTATTCAAGAAGGTTTAGTTCCTTCTATCTACTTTGAAAAAACAACTCAAAAATTAACCTCTGCTAGTGGAGATAGTATGAAAATTGAATTTAAACTCTCTCAAGTAGCAGTATGTCAACAAGACTACTGCATTAAAACTCCATTTTTATTAGTAAAAAATCTATCTCAACATATTATCTTAGGAACTCCGTTCCTATATAATATAATGCCTATAACTACTAATACCGAAGGTATTACTTCTCATATTTGTGATCCCCCCTTACAATTTAAATTCATTACAGATCCCAAAGAAATCATCTTAAATGAAATTAATAAATTCAAAGGAAAACAACTACACATAAATTTCCTATATAAAGAAATTCAAAATGTCGAAATCAAAAATCAATTAGAAAAATCGACAATAAAAACAAAAATCTTAGACATGGAACAACATATTAAACTCACTATCTGTGGAGAAAATCCTATTAGTTTTTGGAATCGAAAAACTCATTGTGTAAGTCTTCCATATATTGACAATTTTAATGAAAAACAAATACCAACTAAATCTCGACCTTCGCAAATGAATCGCGAATATCTAGATCTTTGTCAAAAAGAAATAACAGATTTATTAAAAAAGAAAATTATTAGAAAATCCAGCTCTCCTTGGAGCTGTACAGCATTCTATGTTATGAATGCTGCTGAAAAAGAAAGAGGAAAACCAAGATTGGTAATAAATTACAAACCACTAAATCAAGTATTAAAATGGATAAGATATCCTATTCCTAATAAACGAGATCTTCTAAATAGACTAGCACAAGCTAGCTTATTTTCCAAATTTGATCTAAAATCTGGATATTGGCAAATTCAGATAAAAGAAGAAGACCGTTACAAGACGGCCTTCACAGTTCCATTTGGACAATATGAATGGAACGTTATGCCGTTCGGCTTAAAAAATGCCCCATCCGAATTTCAAAAAATCATGAATGAAATATTCATTTCATATAATAAATACATCATAGTTTACATAGATGATGTATTAATATTTTCCAAAACTATTGATGAACATTTTAAACATCTTAAAACCTTTATTTGGCTAGCAAAAATGAATGGCCTTGTAATTTCTGAACCTAAAATAAAATTATTCCAGACAACTATTAGATTTTTAGGACACACTATTACAAATGACACTATTATTCCTATCCAAAGAAGTATTGAATTTGCTGATAAATTTCCTGACAAAATATTAGACAAAAAACAGCTCCAAAGATTTCTTGGTGCTTTAAATTATGTTTCTGATTTTTATCAAAATCTTGCAAAAGATGCTGCACCATTATTTAAAAGACTTCGTAAAAACTCTCCTCCTTGGGACAATACATGTACCAAAGCAGTACAAATCATTAAACATCATGTCAAAAATTTACCTTGCATTAATTTAGCAAACCCTGATTATTTAAAAATCGTTGAGACCGATGCATCTGACATAGGATATGGAGGAATTCTTAAACAAAAGAATTCATCCACTAACAAAGAAGAATTAGTTCGTTTTACTTCAGGATTATGGAATCCTACTCAAAAAAATTACTCTACCATTAAAAAGGAAATGTTAGCTATAGTAAAATCTATTAAGAAATTCCAAGATGATTTACTTAATACTACCTTTATACTTCGAATAGATTGTTCATCTGCAAAATTTATTATTCAAAAAGATGTTCAAAATCTTGCCTCTAAACAAATATTTGCCACTTGGCAAGCTCAACTTGCTATTTTTGATTTTTCAATTGAATATATTAAAGGAAAAGATAATTCTTTACCTGATTTTTTAACACGTGAATATCTTACAGGTACACCTACCAATAATGGAAAGTGAAGGGTGGCGCACCCCTAAAGGGCGCTCCATACCACCGATCCCTACTAGAGGACGCGGGTGGCCGGCTCTACGCGGTTATCCCCGCGGAAGAGGATGTGGCCAAACTGGCCGTGGAAGAGGAGAGATTCTTCCTCCTAAAATGATTCCATTAAAAACTTATCTATATGGAGCCGAAGAGCTTAATGAGCCCATTAACAATGAGCCCACTCAAGCAGAAAAAACTTCTGCTAAAGAAAATCCTGACAAAACTCAACACCCATCAGAAATGTTTGAGCTCATTCTTAAAATTACCGTCGAACATCTATTGCATTTAAATCTTGAAGACAAAGATATTTCCTCTCCATGGAATATCTTTAAAAAATATTTGAACACTACTCCATTTGCCCAAGATTCTTCATATGATAGAGAAACATATGAAGCCATTCTTATTCATCTTCAATGCATCGAAGTGAAGCATCATTATGATGATAAAAGAAACATCATTTATAGTCGTGCTAATATCCTTAGCATTATTCATCACAAAGACTGGGGAATTACCCCTTTTCAAATTCAAAAATTTGATATTCCATTACCAGATGGTAACATTAAAACTTAGACACGTCAAAAGGCAGTATTATTCTGCCTTTACAGCTCCATTAATCTAAAAGTCGTCTGTCTCTTCTGTAAGTGGAGCTTTACCAGGACGATGGCTTGGTCCTGCATCTTCTGGTTTGATTGTGGAGTGGTCCCATGCATCAGGAATAGTATCATCAGATCTCTGAGAGGTCATGTCATCATCATCAGGAAATAGTTGATTCATTTGTTCCCAGTATGCTTTTTGAAGACGAATTTTAATTTGCTCTGGGGTTTCAGGCGACTTGGTCAGCGGGTTTGGCGTCGGCAGGCGGCGGTGGGTTCTGGTGGTTGAGTCGCCGGCGAGATGAGGAGCAGAGGTAAGTTTTCCTTTTTTTTTCTGTGCGCGAGTGTGTGCGTATCCGTTCGAATGAGAGGGATTTATTGTTGTGAGTGAGGCGGTGAGTGAGAGGTTGTGTCGTTTGGGATTTTAGTCAGTGGAATGAGCGGTGGTTTGTCTGATCTGGCGTCGGCAGTTAGAGGTCAACAGTATGGAGGCTTGGAATATAGTGCTGCTTTTATTGCTTCGGAAGTTATCAATTTTGTGGTTGTTTCTCATCAGAATAATACCATCTCGGAATACTAGGGTGTTAATAAGCCTTCATGACTGTCCAATTTTTGGCACCCTCCTCCTCCCGAGTGGTTTAAGATTAATATTGATACTTCGTTATAGAGATCCATCAAAACAGGTGTTGGTGGAGTGATTAGATATAATAAAGGGAGATTCTTGTTGGCTTTTGATTTTGGTTGTGTACAATGGGATATTACTCAATTAGAATTGCTAGCTTTTAAATCTTTGAAGAATGTTATGCAGAGTTGGATGCATGAGGCGAAAAGCATTATTATTGAAGTAGATAATCAGAATGTTATCATGTTTCTTCAAGAATTTTATGACAAACCAAATAGGAGGATTGGGTGCCATGAGGTGGAGGATTTGTTATTCTTTAAGGAGTTCAATAATATTTTATTTCAATTTATTAGTCTTAGTGGTAATAAATTAGCTGATTATTGTGCTAACTTAGCTGTTTTTTAAGATTTTATTTATGATATGAGAATAATATTCCTCTTTTTATTTCTTTGTTAAAAGAGGAATGTGATAGATTGCTTTTCTTTGAGTTCTTTGTATTTAGGTTGTTATTTTTTTTAAATACAAACTGCATTCTCTTAAAAAAAAAAAAAAAAAAGACATGCCCTAATATTTTTTTTTTAAAGAAAAGGAAAAAATAATCAAAATTGAGGCCGATGCACCATAATTTTTTCCTGTTGAACTTAATAACTCGCCTTCCGCAGTACCTTGCCGCAGTGACGTCTGCTTTCGTCTTTCCGTTCTATCACGTCACTCTCTTTCCTCCCTCTGCCCCTGATAACAGATTAGGTCCGTGATGAGACGTCTCTCCTCCTCTCTGCCAACATGCTCGGACTCTCGACAGCCGATGGGTTCATGAGCGGTACCTCCCTCAGATCTAGTTCCATTTTAATTTTTCTTAGGTTTTGATCATTTTCCTCATCTTTTTCTGTGAAAATTGACTTTTTGGTTCATTGCATGCTACTTTTTACTGGGCTTGTCGCAGTGAAAGGAGGAGTCGACGACATGATTAAATACCTTGCTAACGAGCCTTCGATGGGTCTCTATTTCGTGCAGCAGCACGCCCAATCCTCTATGCCCTACCTCCTTGATGTCAAGGTAGGCTTGCTTTCTTTCCCTTTACTGAGCTCATCTTTGATTAATTTGTATGTAAATTTATTTCTGAATGGGTTATGAGTTGTTTATATTTGCTGAATTCGTGTTCATTCTTCTTTTGCGTATGTTTGATGAATGTTGCATTTTTGGGGCAAATAGCTTGGGATTTCCCCAACAATTAGGTTCGTAGTGTTGCATTATTTAGTATCTCATAATCATTTTCATTCCAGGCTCGTTGGTTTAATCATTTATTTGTATTCTTTGGGAAGAAATGAGCATTCACCTGCTTCAGAAATCAGATTTACTTAATGATTGGCTTGTCTTGTTGATTTGGGTTGGTTTTAGATCCCAGAGATGTATTTCTGTTTGTTTAATTCAGTTAGTTTTAAATTATCCTTATAATTAGAAAAATTATTATTTTATCTTTTAATTTCTACAAAACCCTTCAAATAGGGTAACAGTTCCTTACAGTGATACAAGCAAAATTACCAATAGAATATGGCCAAGTTTTTTATATTGTTTTATTACTTTTAGACAATTGGCCTTTATGTTAGAGCTGAATCGACTTTGCCACCTTTGCAATCCGTGGGATTCTTGATTGAACCGTTGATGCACGCAGCCACCTTAGGCAACCATGGATGGTGGAAATTTACTTAGGATAGCTAGAGATAGTTGGGCATTGCAGGGTAGTGGGTGCACCTTGGTTTAGTTCATGTTTCGGTTTGGGTTTAGACTTTGGCATGCCCAAATGGGTTGGGCTGGTTTGGATAGCTAATCTAGGTTCTTAAAAAAGTGTTATGCAAGGTTTTAAGGGGTTTGGATTTAGTTTGGGTATGGTAAAAGTGAATAAAAACATGTCATTTTTTGCTTTTGGTCAAGTTAGGGTTGACCATAGTCAAGGCCAGGGGTGTAAGTGAGCCGAGCCGGCTCGAACTCGGCTCGTTAACGAGCTCGCGAGCTGAGCTTATCGAGCTTCGAGCTCGAGCTCGAGCCTACAATCGAGCTCGAATGATAAACGAGCTCGAGTTCGAGCTCAACCCGACTAAACTCGAAAGCTTATCAAGCTACTCGATATAATTATATATATTATATTTATAATATTATTTTAATATACAATAATACGCATTACATGCGTTGGTGCTTCTCAAGCGAGCTCGATCTTGATCTCGAGCTCGAGCTTTTCAAATGAGCTTGAGCTTTCGAGTCGAGCTCGAGCTGATATTTTCTAAACGAGTCGATCTCGAGATCATCTCGAGCCCACTAATCGAGCTCGATCTCGAGCTCTAGCTCATTAAGGATTAAACGAGCTAGGCTTGATAAGGCAAATACTCGACTTGACTCGACTCGTTTACACCCCTAGTTAAGGGTGTTTGACCATGGATCAAACATGAGTCCAAATAACCTTTGGATGGGTTAGAACCATTTAGACTTATGCCAATGCCAATAGGTCTAGATTAGTTGGTTTGTTTTATATTTAGATATTTTAGGTTTAAAGGGTGATTGGTCAAACCTATTTTGACCATGGGTCAAATGGGTTGACTAGAACTCCTTGACCCATGGGGTTGGTCAAGAGAAAGAAAAAGGATTCTAGGGTAAAATGCATCGGGCTTGTTATGTGATAGAAATGTACCCCTCAAACTTAAGGGAAAATTCTATAAGATGGTAGTGAGGCCTGCAATGCTTTATGGTGCCGAATGTTGGCCATTAAAAGAGAAGCATAATACTAAGTTAAGTGTGGCAGAGATGAGGATGCTTAGATGGATGAGTGGCTTTACCCTTAGAGATAGGATACGAAATGAGCATATACGTGAAAAGGTTGGAGTAGCTCCAGTAGAAGATAAGATTAGAGAGAGTCGCCTTAGATGGTTTGGTCACATAAAAAGGCGGCCTTCCGATGACCCGGTTAGGAGAGTAGAGGTATTAGATTTGACTTGTGTTAAGAAAGGTAGGGGTAGACCTAAAAAGACTTGGTTAGAAAATATTAGGAATGACCTTTCTTTATTAGATTTAAACGAGAATTTGACTTTTAATAGGACACAATGGAGAAAAAGGATTCATGTAGCCGACCCCACGTAGTGGGATAAAGGCTTGATGTTGTTGTTGTTGTTGTTGTTGTATGTTTTATTTGTTTTATTCAGTGGGGTCTCCTATCTATCTAGGGTAACTATGGAGTATATTGGGGTCCTTAGGTCCTTTCTAGATAGGTTTAGGGTTAATTATATCATGGATGCTCTAGTTAAACCCAAGGCTTACTTAGGAGATCCTTTAGGTTTTTGAGTTTTGGATTTGGTTTCAACCTATTACAAGGGGTTTGGAAAAGGTTTCTAATGAACCTAACAAGGTCTAAGATTGACTCTTAAGGCTCTGGATGATGCTCGAGTAAAATTATAGCTAAGCTAGTTAATGGGTACCAAGGGTCCAACATAGAGCATGGGTTATTCTAGGGATTTGTGTTTTCTATGGTTGGCTAATGCTAAGTCATCAGGAATCTAACTATGAAGTTTTTGTAGGGAAGGTCGTACACTAAGGAAACGATTCTATTAGCTGGGGCTAAGCACATGATGATTATGTTAAATTCATTTAAAAATGACATCATCAACTATTCATTATATAATGAATTTTTTGTACATTTTGATCACCCTATCTTTAATTTTATTAACACCTAAGGAAAATTTGACCACAAACATGTGATTTCTCGAAGACTATTCTTTTATTTTGAAGCACAAATCAGGTATGGAGACCAAAGCTATTGACGGTTTATCCCAAGTTATTTTAGTCTTCTCCTTTTTATAATCACAAATCCTTGGCTTTTTAAAGGTTAAAGATTACTATATTGCATGTCTTAATTTTCATCTTATTTATCATAACCACTTGAATAAACTTTTTACTCTAATTGCCTTTTTTCTATTCTTTTTGACAATCTTTATAAAAAAATAAGTTTTGTATCCTCAGATCTTCTCTTTAAGAGTTTTTTTATTATTGAGCTTCATTTTTGCGATATAGCTGGTTAGTTTTTGAAAAAGATTTTACTAAACTAGTAGAATCAATAATTTTTTTGACCCTACTAAAAAGGGATATTGAATGCTTTATTGCCTATTGCTCACATGCAAACTTGCCAAAACAACCAAGCGGGTCCCCTATCTACCTTAGGATGATCTCTTCATAGATTTCAATTTAGGATTGCCAAGACCTCTTTGTAGATATGATAGTTTTTTTGTACTTGGTTATAGATTCTAAAAAATAATATAATTTCTTATCCTATTTGAACATTAATGATACTTCCCACACAATTAAAATTTTCTTCACAAAAATTGTTATGTATGAATAATTTTGTTAAATAAAAATGTTAGATTTATTTCATATTTTTAAAAAACTATTATGCTAGTTATTTGGAATATAATTACTTTAATATGCATTTCACTCCAAATAGATGTTCAAATAGAAGTTGTTAATAGGTCCATAGGCAACTTGCTAAGGTGTTTAGTATATAAGAATATTGGCATTTTATACTTGCATCATGTTGACCTCAATATTAGCATCGGGGTTGAGTTGTAAGCATACGGTGAGTTTCGAAATGACATCGTTCGGAATTCGTCGACGTGCATCAACCAAAAACCCAAATCATCAAAATGGTTTTTGTTTGAGAAACATATAAGGCCATGGCGTTTAGGATAACTGAAACAAGCTATGATTGACACTAATGTTGATTAAGGTTGTCAATTGGCTAAAATTATTTTTTTTCTACTCGCGTGAATAGAGTCGGCATTGACGTGCGTGAATAATGAAGATGACTTGACGACAATGCTGAGGCCCGATTAATCAAAAATATTTATATTAATCCTATATTTAAAATTAATTATTAATGGTAATATAAAAAAGGGAAGATTAAAAAATAACCTAAAATATCCCTAAACAACCCTCATACCTCACTCACGCACGACACTCTACTCACACCCGAACTCCCTTCTTTCTCTCTGTCGGCTCCCTCTCTCACGTGCCCAACCAACCCGATGCTGGCCATGACTTAGGTAACTTCTCTTCCTCTTTTTTTTTTCTTTCATTCTCCTCATTTCTTTCTCCTTCTTCTTTGTTTCTTCTTATTCCTTCATTTCTTTTTCCTTTTCTCATTTTCTCTTCCTTATTCTTCCTCATCTTTTACTTCCTTATTCTTCCTCATCTTTTACTTCCTTATTCTTCCTCATCCTTTTCTCTAAATCTAACCCTAACCCTAACCCTAAAAAAATTATTTCTCTCTACATTCCTCGAACCCTCATCTTCCCTTCACAGAAATTCTTCCCCATAATACACCTTCTCCACCAAAAGGCCCCATCCCATTTCATTTTCTCTCTCTACACCTAGAGATAGAAAAATTACGTACTCTAGAAAGAGAAAATTCATCATTTCTCTCTCTAAACACATCCCTCTCCATCTCAAACACTCCCCTCTCACTCCCATTCCCTTTATCTCTCTTCTTAGAGAGAAAAAATTCATCTTTCTCTTTAAAATTGGAGGGAGAGATTTTCTCTCTCTAACCTCATGCTCCATGGTTTAAAATGGTGCGCCTCAGCGTAATTCTGCCCCTTTAAGCCTCAAAACCCATGCAATGAGTTTAAGATTTGAGGCGTATGCCTCAAGTTTACTGAGGCGCGCCTCAAGGTGCGCTTCGCCTCACGGTTCAGAGGCATCCGCCTCTAAAAATTAAAAAATAATGTGGTATTGCTAGGTACATGCTTGGTACCGCTAGGTGCAACAATGTTTGTTACTACTAGGTACATGCTTGGTACCAAGCAGGTACATGCTCGATGCCGCTCAGTACATGCTCGGTACCGCTCGGTAACACTCGGTACCACTCAGTAACGCTCGGTACCACTCAGTAACGCTCGGTACATGCTTGGTATCTTTCCATACAAACAACTCATGAACTTTAAAACAAGCAGAACTTCAAAATTACTCTTATAATAAAAATTTGTTCCTGGACCGGTATATTATTGTATTCATGTTGTTTTATTATTGGGATGTTCTGATTTCACTTCATATCTTGTGTATTTTTATGTTTTATATATTATTTATTCATTAGTATATACAAAATTTATCATTTTATGTTTACACAATTTTTTTTTTATTTTGAGGCTTACGCCTTGACTCGCCTCACGAACGAAAAACGCCTCAATACCCGATTATGCAATTTTAAACATTGTGATCCTCACAATCTCCATTCCCCTACATCATTCCCACCAAAATCTAGCATATCCCTCTCTTTCCACTCTTTAGAAAGATAAAATCCTCTTTTCTTTCTCTCTAGCCTCCTTCCCATACAATTTTTAATAAAAAATTAAGTTAATTAATTAAATTAAAACTATATCATGTATCACAAATATCGTTGCCATCGTCTCGTCGTTTCCGCCTCCATCTTTGCACATTTGAGGTATAACCCCAACACTAGTTATTTTATGAATTTTGCATGTGAAAATAATTACTCGTGGTCGTCTTTCTTGGTAGGTGGAAAACTTTGTTATGCATGGAAATAAGTACTTGTGATCTCCTTTTTTGTAGATGGAGAAATTTATTATACATGAAAATAAATATTCGTGATTCCCTTTCTTTGTAGGCAGAGAAATTTGTTATGCATGAGAATAATTATTCGTGATCGCCTTTGTTGGCAGGGAGAGAAATTTGCTATGTATTGAAAAAAGTATCTGTGACTGCCTTTTTTGGCAGGTGAGGAAATGATGCGCTTTATAACAAGCACTTAAATACCCATGATTGTCTTTCTTTGTAGGAGGGGGATTGGAGATTTGGTCGCGGTGTCACCTGACACTGACCATGCTGCCTTTCTTGGCAGACGGAAAGACTTAGCACACCCCGATGTAGCCTCCTATGGGTGACGATGTCTGGGTGTTTCCTAAATTTATACTAAAATGTGACAAACTTGGACAAAATTTAGAGAAATAGAAATCTTACCCAATTCCTAAGTGAATAAATATAAAATGCACAAAATCCTAAGTTGAAAACCTTGAAAAATAAAATTGAATGAAAACCAAACTGCGACAAAATATTAGTTACAGTGAATTTGTAGTAGAACTAGTTTCTCGTCAACTAATGCAAGAACGAACCAAACTTCCCCCTCTTAGCTCCTAGCTTACGCACACACTCAAATTCCTTAGCAACAAACACTTTAAACTAAAATGTGTAAATAACTGAACTAAGGATGGGCTGCCTATTTATAATCTAAATAAATGATTTCCCTTGTGGGACCCATTGAGCCAAAATTCAAACAAAAAATAACAAGGGGAGGGGACACGGGTGCACAGATGCCTTAGATAGTGTACACGACACTTGTTATAATTAGGAGGCTTGTATGCTCCTCATAAATATGTTGTACACCTCATGAACACTTGTCTTTGAAAAGAAAAATATAGCATACTATTACATGCCGTGGGTTGCACGACCCCTCATTAAAGTGCATGTGATGCATCAAATCACCAAAAGAGGGTATTGTTTACGAGTACCCTATTGTATAATGTACATGTACCAAAGACATACAAATACGTTATATAGATACATCTAGTGGCATGTATTTATTTTGCCAATTATATGGGCGCATTGCATAATATGTATGCATATTGTTGATCATGTAAATGCATCTTGCAAATGCATCAACAATTATATAAATTCGTAAGTATGTTGTGCAAGTTTATCGAGATTCATGCGGGTGCGTCATACAAACGCACTAAGTAAAATATATGAATGCACTGCATGGGTGCATTATAGAAATGCAAGTGTATAATGCACATATGTTAAGCAACATTTGAATTTAGCACACATCAAAAATGCACACATACAATATACAAATGTATCATGCATACATACCATACCACATACAAGCATACCATACTCACATATTAAATTGTATGTAAGTGCATCATATATACATAAATATATATAAGTCTGTTATGTAAATGCTTCAAGCACTATGCAAGCACATAATGCAACATACCAATCATACAAATGCACTATTTAAATTGTGTAGGTGCATTAGTTAAATATAAAATACAAATGATTATCTCAGCTTACTTTAGATAGTTTAAGGTTCCTATATGGTTAATGTGTTCACCAATCTATACTTTTAGCATTATCATTTCTTTAAGGTAATTATATTTTGTTTGGTAGCTGAGGTTGACATTTTATTTTGTTCCTTACTAACGCAGACTTTCTGCTATAATAATACTTTATTTCGTTTTATAACCTCCAAATTTATATATCAAAATATGTGTTCTAAAAGAATTGCAGCATCATAGCTGATTCCAAGTTCATTCTAATTTATAGGACAAAGTTATGGAAAAGATTCATGAGGTTACTCTTCAAACTGAAGATGTTGAAGATTCAATTGATGTAGTGCAGTCAATGACAGAAATTGGCTATCCTCTCGTTGAAGAGATGATTAAAGACATCAAAACATCTCTACTCATTATTTCAAAATGCCAACCAAAAAGGGGGTATGATCTTTCAATACTTAATTATTTGTTTACCTGAACGCTAATATAACTTAAAAAAGATAAAGAGATTGAAATCTTCTTGTTATGATTTGCTTGACACCCACCGATTAATGACTCTGCAGAAGATCCTTAAATTGTTTTGAATTGCATATTTCGCTGACTGCAATAGTATAATGGTCACCATATATTAAAAGACAATTTTTAGTTATGCTTCCTGCTATAAGCGGCCAAGGTTGACCAGGGTTGTAGAATATTTATGGCTCTGTTTTTCTTAGAATCCCAATTATAGGATGGTGGTTGCTGAACTTTCATGGCTTTATGTTCAAAGTCAACTTTAAGATTTCCTTCTTAAGCACGTTGTTACGGCTATTGTTTTATATAGTATCATAATTTTAATATTTTCAATATAAATACTGGCCTTCATTGTAATTCTAAACCTTTAATTATAATATTGATATTGAGAAAAGTGGTCTTCAGACTATTTATTTATTAATTTTTGGAGTGGGGTTGGGGTGGTGTGGGGTGATGTGGGGATATATTTTACTCCCTTGATTTGTGTCCAATTTAGTCCCTTATCTCCTTAGTCTGATTCAAAATAATCTATTGACTTTTCAAATTTGCCTTAAAATAATCGAACAAAGAGATTATTATGGTTCATATTTAAAGAATTAAGGGACTAATTCGAATACATTTACTTTAGGATTAATATAGCCTCATGCAAATAGTTAAGGGGCTATTTTGTCCTTTATTGAAATTATATTTTGTTTGAATGGAGTGGCTCAATGAGGCTTGACGTCTTGTCTTGTTTGAAATTTTCAGGGTGACGTTATAGGAAATAATTATTGATAAAAAAATTGAGCAATTCTTATTATGTGGCTGGGCGAAGTGTAGTTTATAAAATAATGTGTAGTTTAGGTTACCATTTTCACTTTAAACTTTTTATATCCATTCATTTAATAATCAACTGCTTGATATTTTTTCTGAGAATAGAAGCAAATTTGCCTTCTGAATTTTAAATCTTTTCTAAATAGTTATTAAACTTATAGAGAAGAAGTACAGGTAATGTATTGTGTGGCATTTGTTTGGAAGGGCTATGATGGCAGGTGTTCGAAAATGCTAATATGGATAAAAGATATTTTGAAGGATGGTAAATTAACTTTCTTCATTCTATTTTGGTTGAACTTGAATGAACTGAGAAATATAATAGATGAGTTTTCTTTATCTCATTTAACTTTTATATGAACATATTGAAATAAGATCCATATAACCAATTATAAATAGTCCGTGTACCGTTCCTGATAATTGCAATTAAAAACTTTTTTAGCTGTTGATGCAACATTCTTGTCTCTTGAAGATGTTATAATTGGATTGTTTATGAACTAGTTATGTTTGAAGTTTGATATATTTGTTAAACAAATATTATCGGGTGAAGCCTCTTATTTTTGGGTTTAAGCTATAAACAACTTTATTTTGGTTGGTCTTAATATAAATAAAATGTTCAATGTTAGCGATAAATAATCATCATCATAACCTTTCACATCGTTTTGGGTTGGCTTTTATAATTCCTCTCCATTCATTTCCGTTAAATACTACACAAGATGTTAATTCTATTCTCTGAAAAAATTTTGGCATAATTTTATCCATATGATATTTGATTTATCCTTTTTTTTTCTTAAATCATTCTACTTTTATTTTGTCTATTTGCCTAATTGGTACACCATAAGTCTCTTATTTTGCATGCTTAAATCACATTCTAATTGGTACAATATTAAGTCTCTTATAATCTATATGTTGCACCGATACGGATACGACACGATACGGATACGGGACACGCCAATTCTTAAAAATACAGGATACGGATACGGCGCGGATACGACATTATAATATATAAATCATACCTAAAAATTAAGAAAATAATCAAAGTGTAATATTTGAAATGACAAAAAAAATTGAAATAAAAGTAAGCATTAAATATTTAAATGTCTAGTACAACAACAAAAAAAGGAAGATAAATTGTTCAGGCCATAAAATTTCAATTATTCAATAGAATGAATGATAAGATTAGCTTCTTCTGTGGTTTGTCTTTGAGTTTCTATATCATCTTCAATAAATATCATAGCTTCTAATTCAGGCTCATCAAGTGAAAGATTAACAATTTTTAATATTTTCATATCCTCAAGAGATTCAAATCCATCTCCAGCAACATCCCACATCCTGTTATCTTCTTCCATATAAGTAGAAGTTTTCCTTGAGAGAAGTCGAAGGTTTGTATGCATATAAACTAAATCTTCAGCCCGTTGTGGAGTAAATTTATTTCTCTTCACTGATTGGATGAACGAGTATGTGCTCCAATTTCTTTCACAACAAGATGAGGATGAAACTTGGCCAAGCAATTTCATGACGATTGTTTGAAATAGAGGTGCTGAAGCTCCATGTATAATCCACCATATTTTCGGATCAATTCTCCACCTATCACGCAATCACTCTTGGTCACCAAAGTTCTCTAAATAATCAAAAAAATTAGCAAGCTCAATATTGACACTTCTTCTCTCCACCTTATTTGGAAAATAACGCTTCAAATATATCTTCCTCATATTTGAAATTTCTAAATTTTTCTGTGGAGAAACTCTTTGAGGATTCTCTTGAAGTTATTCTTTAGTTGAATATCTTCAAAAAATATTAAAATGAAATAATGAAAAAATATCAAAATTACTAAACAACAAATTGTGAATTAATAATGAAAAATATTGAAATTTACTTGGGATTTAGTGAGTGAGCCAAGCAATGTAAATGTGTATTACTTTTGCTCTACCTATATTTTAGAATAGCATAAATAACATCCCAGAAGTTTGAGTCTTCATGAAGTGCCTTTCTCTCATGTCTATATATAATTTCTTTTATTTTGGCAAGCATTGAATCCCACATCTCATAAATGAGATGTAAATAAGATTTACCCGTATCAGCTACTCTCAACATCTTATAAATTGAATATGTGAAATTTATGATGTATTCAATCTCATCTCACCATAAATCATCTAAAAGCTTCTTCTTTATATATATCTAACCTTTCCAACATCATTTTCCCTATAACAGGACCATTTGTCATAGATCACCATAGCTTGAAGAACATTTTTTTTTGAATCTTCTCAACATCACTATAATCGAGGCAAACCGAGTTTCAGCAACTGCAAGCATCTTCAAATTAGAGAAATCCTAATTACATAGAGAGTCTCATGGAGTGATTCATAATAAAATTCCTAATTACAACTGCATCTCCAGCAATCATTGTTATCCAATGACATTCATTATAGGTGATTTCGTTTTCCTTGGTATTCTTAGCTGCACAAATGTTCTTCAAGCTAATATTAAGCGTATGCACAACACATAGTATCCAGAAAATATAAGGATAGACTTGTTCTACAAGTAAACCTGCAGCTCTACAAACATGTGCATTATCAGTAATGACTTGGATGATGTTTGAAGGCCCCACCATTATGATAACTTCTTTGCTATGATGCACCGACACTTCTCCTCAAAGAGGCGTGCAGTGTCCGACACGACACTCGTTCGACACTCCTCCGACACGTGTCGGACACGCCGAAAACGTGTCCGATTAAAAAATATTAAAAACAAATTGGACACGCGTGTCCGACACGCGTATCTTAAATATTTTATAATTTTTTTAAAATATAATTTCTTATATTTGGCGAGATTTAAACTAAATTTCTTATTTCCTATCCACAACACCAAATCAATGCCTGCATTTAATACCCATTCATCGAATATTCTCATTTTCATTTCTCTTTGGTAGTGAAAGTATTTTCATCTCCTCTTTTTTTGCACAATTACAAATCTTTCTCTTATTGAACCCGAGTTGAAAGCAGTGATATTCAATGATGATGATATTGAAGGCCAAAAATAAACCTCTAAAGCTAATCATACTAGTTGAAGCTTGAATGCTTGATGTTGTAGTAAGTCATTATTTGCTTATATTTTTGTGGTTGTACTAGATATTTTGTACTAAATATTTTATATTATAAGCTAGACAAGTTATCATGTCATTCATTTATTATTGTTTGTCATTTTTAATATGATATTACATTAATATATATATACTATATAAAAAAATGTATTTTCGTGTCTGCGCCGTACCCGTGTCCTATATTTTCAAAAAAGGTCGTGTCCCGTGTCCGTGTCCCGTGTCCGTGTCGCCGTGTCCGTGTCCGTGCATCATAGCTTCTTTGATTAAATTAGAAATGAAGAACTTATCCTTGTACTGTCCTTCACAGTTTACAGCTTTGATAATCATAGGATAACTCTCTGTTACAACCATGAACTTGATAAGTAGTCTTTTTTGTGGATCTGTCCACCCATCACAAACCAAAGTAACTCCTTTTTCCTTCCAAACTCCTCTAGAGCAACTTCTCAATATTATTCCTCTCTTTGCAACAACTTCGTTCTAATGACATTATATCCAGGTGGCACGTATCCTGCAAGATTATTATTGCATGCATAGGTAAAGGCATTATTGTAATGCGGTTTCCTTGCTAGATTAAAAGAAAGTCCAGCTGAGTAAAACATTCTAGCTATTTTCCTATCTAGTTATTCTCTCATTTGTAAATTAAATGCTTTCTCCAAAGCACTATCTACAACATATTTTCTTCTTTTTGGTTCAAATCCCTCCATCCGAAAAAGGCCCCTTATTAACAGTACTGTCATCACTTCTAATCAAAGAAGATGATGAAGGATATGAAGCATGAGTGCTTGGAAGTGGAATATATTTTGGAAGTTATTTTTTACTCTTTTACTCAGCTTCACTAATTTTTCTTTGCAATTCAGCCATATGTGATGAGCTTATATTCGGGCATACTTTAATTCCATGACCACTAATCTTTAACAAATGAGCTTTCGCTCTATAATATGATCCTTTATATGTGGCATTACAAAAATTGCATTTTAATGCAATATTGCCACCCCTTCTGATGTTTTACCTATTTTTG